TCCCCCTCCTCCTCCTCCCCGCCGCCACTGCTACTGCTGCCAAGGTCCTCCTCTCCCTCCCCAGCCCCCGCCCCGCTGGCCGCCTCCGGCGCGGCGGCCGCGCCGCCGGGCGGCGGGGAGGGAGGGGCCGGGCGGCGGGGCAGGAGGGCGATCTCCAGGATGTGGGCAGCCGCCTGCAGATCTGCGATCTTGACTCCAAGGAACTGCAAGCGTCGCCAGCCATGCAGGGGCCGGTGATGTCAGGTGGCGATTATGGCGGTTGGTCGGAGAGTGGTGATGGTGGGCGGCATTGCGGGGGGGGAGGCGAGGGGGGCTGCTCCGCGTTCCAGTTCGCGGGAGCGGCGGGTCTGCGCAGGCGCGCGGGCGGCGGCGCGGCGCGGCGCGCAGGGCAGGGCGGAGGCGCGTGCGAGGGGCGGCGGGCTGATCCTGGGGCTGGGGGCTCCTGGCCGTGAGCCGCCGTCCGCAATGGACACTAGTCGCTCCTGTAGGCCCCTCCGCCTCAAATGCCGAGGGCCGCAATCCCTGGGCATCGCAGCCCCTGAGCGCTGCGAAACCCTGAGCACGGCAAAGCCCGACCGCTGCACAACCCCCGCGGCCCGCCGCGCTCACCCTGCCGACCCAATAGTCGCACTTGCCCTCCGCCGCCAGCGCCGCTGGGTTGGGCAGGTGCTCCCGCGCCAGCTTGGCCTTGCCCCGCGCGAGCCGCTCCTCGCAGTCCGCGGCCTCGCGCCGCGCGGCGCTGCGCCGCCTGCGCCACCTGGCGGGGCGCGGGGCGCGGGGGTATTGAGCAAGTTTGACCGAGTTTGACTGGCGGCGCAGTGCGGCGGCTGTGCGCCGGTTTGGCCCCATAAAGAGGGGTCGAGCCACACAAAGAAAGGGTTGAGAATGCATAAAGTGGTTTGCCGTGGCAACCCGCCACAGGGCGGGTCCTGCCGGGCTCCCAGATCACCCTTCGACGTCGCGATCTCACACAGCGCGCCGCGGCGCCGGATCCGAATTTAGATTTCGAAAGAGCCCCTCACCGCTTCCAGATCACGTGGTCCTTGCGGCGCAGCTTGGGCAGCTCCTTTTCCCGCCACTTCGCTGCCGCGCGCTCGACGCCCGCATTGATGATTTGAACCAGCATAGCTAGCCGCTCCTCTGTCGGCCCCGCCACGATCCCCTCTTCTCCGCTGCGCGGCCCACCGCTGTCGCCGCCGCCGTCGCCCCCGCCGCCGGGCGGCGGCGGCATGCGCGTGAGCAGCGCGCGCACAGCCTCGCTGCCGCGCTCGGGGCCGCCGGCGGCGCCGCCGCCGGCGCCGCCCGCGCCGCCGGCAGCAAAGGCGGCGGCGATGGCCTGAGTCAGCAGGGCGGCGCGGGCGCTGCGGTGCGCCCTGCGCGCCGCCGCGCCGCCGCGCTCGGGCCCCTCCCCGCCGTCCTGCTCCCCCTCCTCCTCCTCCCCGCCGCTGCCGCTGATGGTGAGCGACTGATGGGGAAAGAGAGACAGCGCAAAGGCGGCGGCGCATCAGTTGCGTCTTATACAACGTCATACATCGCATTTAACATATATTCAAACACACAGACGCGCGCGTTTTCAAACGAGCTGGCGCCGCGCCGCGCGCGCGTGTACCCGCCAGCAACCGCAGCGCCCGCGTCGGCAAACCCCCACGGCCCGCAAGCAATCGCGGCCCCGCCCACACGGGGCACCTCGCTTCCGCCCTCCTCCTCCTCGTCCTCCTCCTCGTCCTCCTCGGCCTCCGACCGCCCACCCAGGCTGCTCAGCCCGATGGACGGCCCCTCCCCATCCGACCAGCCCTCCTCCTCCTCCTCACCACCGCTGCCGCCGCCCTCGCCGCCGCCAGGCACGACCTGAAACGACGCCGCGCCCCCGCCGCCGCTCTCGCTGTCGCTGTCGGCGCCGCCGGGCAGCGCGGCGGCGCGGCGGGCGCGCGCCTGCTGCTGCGCCTGCAGCAGCAGCGCGAGCATCTCCCTCTGAGCTTTCAAAAGGTCTGCGGCATCCTGATACTCATACGGCCTGAGCAGGGGTTTGATGCAATCAAGGCATACTTGTGGCTTGCAAGTCAAAATGAACACCATTGCGGTGCCGTGACTAGCGTGGCCGGCGACCGGCCGCGCGGGGCGCAACGCTGCTCCTTGCTACAGCCAAGCGGGCTGAGCCGCCCTTGCCACACACGAGCACGCGTCAGGGGCGCCGCCGCGCCCCGAGAACCAGGCCGGCGCCGGCGCACTCGCTGGCAGCCGCGGCCTGCGCGACCCCAAACAGACGCCGGAGCCGCGGCCCCAAACTCCCGCCCGCGGCGCCCCTGGGACGGCCCCCTGAAACCCTCAACGCTCAACCCTGGGACGGCCCCAAGACCCACATGTCTGTGTTGCGCGTCATTGCAAGGGCCCCTGTGTCAGGGTCGTCCTCCTGCAGGACCTCCAGCATGTTGGTGCACACCGCCACCGCCGGGCCGCCGCCGCCGCCGTCCTCGCCTGCGCGCGCGTCAGGCGAGCGGCGCTTGGCCCTTGCGGCGCAACGCTGCATGCGCCGACCCCAGGCTCTGTCCCAGCGCTCGCATGCGTCTGCATCTGAGGATCCGCTGGCAAACCCAGATCAAATCAGCGCGACCAGATCACGCGCATGGGCATGCCGCGCTGCCGGCCCTTTGCGCATGCCAAACGCCGACCACCCCGCTCACCCTGTGGCCGCTGCAGCACGTAGTAAAAGCCCGTCTCATCCGGCTCCGCCACACGCACCTCCTCCCCCTCCTCCTCGCCCTCCTCCTCTCCGTTCTCAACCGCCGTGCCCTCCATGCGATCGCCGCCGCCACCAGCCGCAGCAACCGGGGCGGCGGCCGGTGGCCGCCGCCGCCGCCGCCGGCTCGCGCGCTCGCTCTCCGGCCCCGACTCCACCTCATCTCGCGCATCCAGATCCATAGGTTGCTCCCCCTCACTCTCCTCTTCGCCCCGCTTCGCCGCGACGGCCCCATCACCAGCTGCCGCGGCCCCCGCCCCCGCCGCCAGCGCCTGCCGGCGCCGTGCGCTGCCAGACGGCGGCGTGGGCGGCGCGCCCGCCCCAGACGCGCCCCCGCGCGCCTCGGCTCCGGCGCTGCCCTCGCCCTCGCCCTCACCCTCACCCTCACCCTCGCCCTCGCCGCCGCCACTGCCGTCGTCGCCGCCCGGGGGCGAGCCCGAGTCTCTATCGCTCAGCAGCGGCTCGGCCGCCCCCACCGCCGTAGCATGCGGCGGCGTCCCCGCTGCACCCGCGCCCGCGCCCTCGACGGGAACCTGGACCACGGTGGTTGCGGCGTCGCTGCCTGCAGCGGCGGATTGCTGCAATATGAGTGTCGAGGGCGGGCTGCCCGCCAGCCATGGGCCGGCCGCTTGCAGAGGGCGCCGTGCTGGTGCTGTGCTGTGGGCGCCGGGCCGTGCCGGCAGTGAGGCAGCAGGTGCGCCGTCGTTCAACCAGCGGAAGTCCGGAGGGCGGGGAACGAACCTCGGCCCGCCGTTGGCTGGAGGCACCGGGGAAGCGGCCGCAGCGACGGCGACAGCGATTTCTGCAAGCCGCTGCTCCTGGCTGCGTAGCTTCTCCTCGACGGCGCGCGCTTCCCTCATTGACTGCTCGACGGTGCGTATGATCTGCGCCTGCGCCAGCTTGCTGTCCTGCAGCTGGCGCGCGAGCGCCGCCACTGAAAGCGCCTCCGCTGAGCCAGCAAGCGCATCGTGCTGGTGCTCTTGCTGCTGCATGGGGGCAAGTGGGCCAGGCGCACCGCTGCCGCCAGCGTCGTCTCCTGGATCCATGACAGACACCCTAGACCAGTTTGTCGGGGCTGGCCATGCTGTGCTGGTTACGGAGCGATCTTGGCGCCCATCGCAACCTATGGTGAGCAAGTATCATACGTTCAGTTACTAGACGGCCTTTATCAATTGTATGCTGAAGGACATCGATGCAGATGTTTTCGTGTTGTTGCCGTAGCGCTTGAGAGCAGCCAACGTCCACCATTTGCGTGATCGAGCGCACATGGCTCGCCATTGCCCCGTTGAGGCTTCGGCCATCAATATCTATTCGATTGCGTAATCTTCTGAAGTATATCAAACACTACAGTATGACCAACAGCAAAGTCGGCGCCATCGGGCGTCACCAGCCCGGACACCTGCGGACCGAGGCAGGGCTCTGTCCGTGCCGATTGGGCACGCACTTGCTGCAGCCTGGGTGCAGCCGCCCCGTGGACCCCAATACTGCTCATACTTGCGCCCATGCGGCAATGCATGACCTTGGCTCAACTCCTTTCCTGCCGGCCGGCAAACAAGCACAAGCGGCAGGCTGGGCTACAGACACGCAAACTGCCGCTAGGAGGGAAAAGATGACAACGAATGGAGAACTTACAAAGGTGGCGGGTCAGGGCAGTCGCACATGAGGTGCATCACCACAGACCAATGCAGGATTTGCAGGGGGCGCGCAGAACAAAGTGTATGTGCCTGCAGGCACGGCAGCGACGCGCGACGCAACCGGCCCCTCAGCCCTGCTGCCCCTCGCGGCTGCGCGCCGAGGCCGACGCCAGGGCGGTCCTCAGCGACGTGTTGGCGGAGCTGTCGCGGTCGAGCAGCTCAAGGAGGGCCTGCCCCACGGTCTCGGGCATCGGCACCCGGACGGCGCCGCCCGCGAGCGCCAGCACCCACGCGGAGGCCAGCCAATCTGGCTCAGGCTCGGGCCCGCGCGCCGCCGACGGCTGCTCGAGATCGCGCGTGGACGGCTCCCAGCAGAATGCTGCCATGGCGACAAGGCAGTGCAGAACAAGGAAGGCCTGCTGCAGCAGCACCGCCCGCCATGTCCCGCCATCCTGCGCCCCATGCGCCTGCTGGTGCTGCTGCTGCTGCTGCTGCTGCATGCGCTGTCGCTTCCGCCGTCGCGCCTTGCTCTCATCCACATCCACGGCCGGCACCAAGGATCCGGTCCCTAGCACCACCGCCTGAAACTCACCGTCCGGGCCAAACTCAATCTCCGCCCTGGGCGCCCTGCCCCCCGGCACCAGCCCCGACATCGTCACACGCTTGGTGGGGGGAGGCAGTGCCAGCAGTTCAAGGGCCTGGGCCTCGGACTCTATGGTGCACAGGTCTATGGCAGTGCGGGCCGTGCTGGGCGCAAACACCGCGGCGGACACCACTACTTGGTTGCCGTGGTCGCCCCCGGCCGTGCGTATGAACACGCCCTCGCCGCCCCCGCCGCCGCTGCCGTGCATGAGCGGGGCGAGCAGAACCGCATCAGGCCCAAGCTGTCCAAAGCCGCAGGCCGAGGCGCAGCCGGGCCTGCTCAAAAATTCAAACCAGTCGAGCAGTTTTCCGCGGGGCGGCAGCTCAAGGCGCATCAGCTCGCTGGCATCAGGCAGCCCGGGCAGGTGCCTCAGTCCTAGCGCAGTCAGGTCGAGGCGCACCCCCTGCACGCAAGGCGGCGACCTGTCCCCGGGGCCACAATCGCCGCTGCCGACGGCTGGCTGGGGCTCGGGGCTGGACATCCTGGGATGCAAGATAGA